GACATTAATGATTTCACTAAGGGTATCCTCCCAAAAGCCATCGATGAAATTGTCTCCCCCACGTCACCAACGAAATCATCAATGGCTTATACGAATTTTCTCCATACAAAATTCGTATAAGCCACCGATGACTCGTTCGATGAAACGGACAAAATTGTCATCCAGAGCGTCATGCATGACAAAACCGGCGATCCCATACAAATGACTATATGAATTGTCATCGAATAGCCACCAGTGGCTGCTTCCCCTGTCATCGGTGGGTCGTCGTCCATTTCATCGACGAAAAGCCACTTTTGGAACTGCAGGGGCAATTAAAACAGACAATACTACCCTATTCACTCACACCCAAATATACTGTGCAGAAAAAATAGTGTGCCCACTTTTTAGAATTAGTGATTCATTTGTCGTTTTGGATGCATTCATGCAGAAGTCTAGTTCAGAACCTCTGCTGAATTCGATATCCAGTTACACATCTGGAATCCGCCTTGTTGGTGAACAAAGGATACGTCTTCAATCAGTTGAACGGCGCTGTCAATGTCATCTGCTCCGCCTAAATAGTCGTCCATATAATGATTTGTTAATATGTTCTTACAGGCTTTGGGATACTTTTCCTTAAACTCGTTAGCGTTATGATTTCTTACTTGTTGTGCAATACTCGGACTACATTTGGCTCCAAAAAACAGCACTTGGATTTCATATACGTCCGGAGGATCATGTCTTTTATTTCCTCTCCATAGAATTCTTTGAGCCTGTCTGTCTTTTTCTGGTATTTTAATTTGTAGAAACATTTCTTTGATATCTCCTACAAAGGCAATTTTATGTTTTCTAAAATTCATGAGAACTGAAGATAGTTGAGTATAGAGGTCAGGTCCGGGTAATAAGAAGTCATTCAAGCAGTAGTTATGAGTTTTAGAAGCGGCATCGAACATTATTCGCAATTTTTCTGGTTTATTGCTATTTTGCACACCGAAATGAGGCAGATAAAAGGTCAGTTTTGTTTCGTGTCTGGCTTCTGTGGGATTTAATTTTTTTAAATACCCTTTCGAAATATTAGATTGCATTACTTCGTAATATTTTTGACCATACTCAGGATTTTTGTCAATCTTGCGTTCACATGTCAATAGCCTAGAGAAAGCGTTCTTATAGCTCTCAGGAAGCTGAGTGTTATCTTTTCTCCAGAAAAGACCGCATTCGAAGCTGTTGCCAACTCGTTTTAATGTATGTATTATTAACAATACTTATACATCGTTTGTCGTCTACAGACATTGGAAAGTCTTTTTGAGTTGCAAATTCGTTTTCAATTGACCAATAAGACTTAACTAGATTATGTAGTTCATCTAGATCGTCCTTTTCGTGAAAATGCTCGTGTACATGAAAGGTATGATTTGTCTCAGCTAGAAGTCTTTTAGGTTGTGTTAAACCATGTACGACCCAGCCTAACAATGTTTTGCTAGCGACTGGGACGCTAAAGGTTTCGTACTTTAGCTTGCGGGACACTATAAGAGACCAATTATCTTGTCCTATAAGTATTCTTGGCTGTGCCTGATTGTAAGAGCAATGTGTAAAATTCTTTAAAAACTTAAAGTTGTCTGTCATCTGGTCTACGCTTAAAGTTTGTTCTGGCAAATTAAGGTTGGAGACAGTCCTAGCTCTTCTCATCATGTGTGTCTTAGTATTCATGTCATTACCTTTAATGCGTATGCTAACTACTTTAGAATCTTCCTGCTCGTAAACTTCATTGTTAGTCCATTGCATTTTTAATGGCTTTGTTGAACCGTCAAGACCTAGATTGTTAGCCAAGTTCTCGTCAATCAATGATATGGTTGAAGCCTCATCAAGAAGAGCATATGTGTCAATAGTATTTTTTGGTCCTATAAGGGTGACCTGTACCACTTTTAACAAAACCTTATTTGCACCCAAATTTACGTTACAGTTTTTCTCAATGTTGTTGAAAACAGATTGATCACCATCGTCAGACTTGTTTGTTATTATGTTTTCAGATTTGTCTTTATGCAAAAGGTTGTTATGATTGAAGCTACAATTGTTAATATTGCATTGCCTTTTACGTTTGCAGTCTTTAAGTAAATGATTTTTACCCAGGCACGAGATACACAAGCTATTTTGAGAAACATGTTCCCAGCGCTTGTCAGTAGGTAAATCTTTAAATTTGGAACAAGTTGTAACATAATGATCACTCAGCTTGCAATAATTACAAAAACCTTTGTTTTTACCTTTGTATGTGTCATCCCGAACACCTGAAACTGTCAGTGTGCAATCTTTTGATTTGTTGATATTTTGGCCAAATCCTAAAACTGTGGCAGCTTTAACTGTCTCGCCTAGCCATGATTGAAATACAATTATTTTTGGCTCAGAAGGTTTCAGCTTTTGACAATGTTTGATGAAAGCGATACGTTGAGGTACGGGTAGTTTGTCTAAAATTTCATCAAAGATTAATGGGTTTCTTAATTGATCCACATCTCCTACATTTAACAAAGTGTGGATAAGATTGTTGATTATGTCGTAGAATGCAAAAAGCTTCTCGTATTTGTCGTCCCTAACTACTGGTAGTTGTTTGATCTTGTCAAGAAGCAATCTTATTATGTAAGATGGATCCCCATAGCGCTCTTTTAGAATATCGATAATTGAGTCGACATTCTCTGGTAAAACCAATAGAGCCTGAACACATTCTTTGGCACGTCCTACTAGAGCCTTTCTAAGTCTACTTAGGTTTTAATAGTTAGTAAAGTTACAAGTTTTTGTGCTATTTTCAAACTCAGCATAGAATATGGGCCACTCTAATGGGTCCCCTGAGAATGATGGAAGATCTTGTTTAATTGTCTGTCTGGCCATAAACGTTTCGATGTTGTAATGGTTATTGACTTCGTTGTAGGACACATTATCGCTTTCAAACTTAAGTCTACGTTGAGCCCCATCTACCCACTCACGCGTGCGGACATCTTTGTTGTCGTCGTCATCGATTTCGTCCATGTTGTCTCCAATTCTGCTACCTGCGGCTGATCCTAATTGTGCCAGTTGTAACTTCTGCTCGAGCTCCAATTGTTCCTGTTCAAACTCAAGGCGTGCTCGCTCCTGTTCCTGTCGTGCCTGCTGATCTCGAAGTTTCTGCTGCTTTTTCAAGTACTCAAGCTGTACCTGAAGTCGTTGCACCTTGGTTGAGTTGCGGGATAATTGGCTTCCTTCAGAGATGTGTGATTTGGCAAGTTCATCACAGAGTTGTCCAGGAGGATTGTGTGTGGCTAGAATCGCCGGCGTAGATGCAACCAGTTTTTTGTTGCGATTTTCCATGATGGTTACTTCTTGCTCCGATTGATCAAGTCTGGGCGTGTCGATAACCCTGTCGTCTTCATTTTTTGGTTGTGTGCTTAGATCCTTTTGTTGGCTTTTGCCTTGTAACTTCTTTTTAGATCCTGTTGGTGCCATAATGCTGTCCGCGTCTTATTTTACCGTCACAGAGATCGTGGTGAAATTATTCTTTGGCGTCGTAGTTTTTTGCGCAAATTCACTAATACACACAACTTAAGTCGTCATTTGTGTAAGTGTGTATGTGTGGTTGTCTGGGCAAACTGCGAAATCTATTTCGCAATCCATTTGCTGTTCAGTTGACTTCGAAGGACCATGTTGGGGGGTTTACCTGTGGCTATAGATTAGTATCCAGATCGAACGACCATGTTGGGGGTTTACCTGTGGCTATAGATTAGTATCCAGATCGAACGACCAAAAATAATACTCAGATTTTAATTTTTATTTCTTGTCGCTTTCGCTGCTTGCTGTCGCTAGTCCACACATTACTTAACACTACTTTTTTTAGAGTTACCCTTCTTCATTTTTTATATTTTTTTTAGCACTTAATTTTTAAGGAATTTATAACACTGAGTTTTTTTTCGTTGTGGATTTGAAATTTAAAATAAACAAAAATAAGAATACAACAACCGTGCTCTGTGCGACGGGCAGCCCATCTCGTATATTTAGGAACCCGGGCCGGATGACGTCGGGGTATACGTCCGAGCCCAACACCAGCGAGACTGTTGCTGGGCGATGGAATCGCTCATCGGCAAGACGGACGTCGTTGAACTGGGCTCGCATATCTTCAGTCAGCGCGCGGATCGGGGTACGGATGCGTAGCTTCGGGCTGATCTTCAGGAGCACCTCGATCTGGAAATCGCCCGTTCTCGACCGGATCGTCGTCGAGCAGACCTCCTCACCCCCACTGTCGTCGTGGGGAGCTTGAAGGCAGTTGCCAGGGAGCTGTCGATGGTGCTGACGGGAGTGCACGGGTCGATCAATGCGGCCGTCTCGAAGGTGGTGGTCCCAGATTCCAGCAACACGATGGCCGTCGGGAGAATGTGGAGGCTCTGATGCTGCGCTAGAGCCGCTACGGATGGAGTTGCCGCTGGAGTTGGTCGTCGTACCAGTGCTTGCCTTGCCGGTGGTGATGGAGACCGGGAGACTGATCTCGACAGGCGAACGGTCGATGCGCGATGTTGCTCGACGGGCGATGAACGGCGTTGAGGGGAAGGCGATTGGCGGCGTGGCTGGATGGGCGTTCGTCGAGGACTCCTGGGCATATCGTGCAGGAGTGTGGTGATCCTTCCCGCATTTTTTGCAAGCGTCGCCACTGCGACATTGCCCTTCGGAGTGCTGATGCGCCAGGCAATTCGCACAATATTTATTTATAAGAACGGCGCGGAGCCGCTTCTCCGTGCTGAGCCTGAGGAAACGGCTGCACTTCCGTAGCGGATGGATTCCCCGACAGACTCGGCAGCGGTAGGAGCGAGTACCTCGAGAACGTCTGTCGTCCAAAGTTTGGGCGCTGCGAGGACGTGGAGCCATGGTATTTATGCTTTAATAAAAAAAAATAAGCGAACTTAGTATCAATTGTGGACGGATTTTGAAGCATAAGGACAGAAGGCACTAGTTTGGAAAAGCGGAGGTTGCCTTGGCCTCCATAGAAAGAAGTGCTAGAAGGAGGACAGAATGCATTATTTCGGAAAGGCGGAGGTTGCCTGGTCCTCCATAGGAAGAAGTACTAGTTTGTGGATGGGACGTGTTATAGTCCCTCGAGCAGTACGGATCTCAACTACGCGAACTCTACTATCGGCTCCTGGAAGAACAGATACAACTCTGCCGAGCCGCCATTCGTTTGATGGCATGTTGTCTTCTTTGACAACCACCATGTCATCGACTTGGATATCTCTGGAAGGAGTCTGCCACTTATTGCGCTTGTGAAGTTCCTTTAAGTACTCCTCCTTCCATCGCGCACTGAACTGCTGATGTAGGGCCTTTAAGTGCTGCCAGCGATTTATAATTGACTGAGCATCGCCCTTAATTTCAGGTTCAGCTGTTGAAAGCAAAGGTCCCCCAATCAGAAAATGGCCTGGCGTCAATGCCAATAACTCAGATGGATTTTCGGACATGGGAGACAGCGGCCTGGAATTAAGGAAGGCTTCAACTTTGGCGAGAAGCGTGGCGAACTCTTCAAAGTGTACTTCCGACTTGACGTCGACTTGTAAAAGAGTGCCTTGAAGCTCTTTACTCCAGCCTCCCACAATCCTCCCATATGTGGAGCCCCTGGTGGAATGAACCGCCACACAAGTCCCTGATGGCTATAGGTTCCAGCTACAGACTCCTTGATCGTCTGCATGAAATCTCTAGAAAGTAGAGTCGCTGCCCCCACAAAGGTTTTGCCATTATCCGAATGGACTCGCTGAGGACAACCTCTTCTTGCGACGAATCGGGCAAATGTCGCGAGGAACTTCTCCGTTGTCAGGTCGGACGTAGGCTCTAAATGGATAGCCTTCGTGGAAAAACACACAAACACGCAAACATATCCCTTGGTAATAAGGCATGCTCTGCCAGTATAGTTTTTAATTTCAAACGGGCCTGCATAACCCATGCCCGTATATGTGAATGGCCTGGAAAAGGAAACTCGATCGGTAGGGAGATCGCCCATCAATTGCGTCTGGACTCTCTTCCTGTAAATAGTACACACCTTACAGGAATTCAGCACAGCTTTTACCAGATTTTTGATTTTAGGAATCCAATACTTCGATCGGATGAGGCGTACCACTAGTTGGTTGCCGCCATGCAGGGAAATCTGGTGTGAAAAAAGGACGAGAAGACGAGCTAACCGACAGTTGTATGGCAGTATAATAGGATGCTCGTCGTACTGGAGGGCCGTTGAGGCCGTAATGCGCCCACATGCCCTTAACAGGCCTTGTTGGTCTAGAAATGGAAACAGGTTGGCGATCGGGCTGGAAACTGGAATCGAACGCTTATCGTTTAGGACTTTGAGCTCTTGGGTATATTCTCCCCGCTGAGCATTTCGAATGAGGACTCTTTCAGCTTTTTGGACCTCTTCCTTGGTGGGTCGCTCAGCAGCGTCCCTCGGCATCTTGCGGCAGCGTTGAGTGAACCGTATTACGTACGCAAGGACCCGCAGAGCCTTGTCCAACGCGGAGAAACGTTCCAAAAAATCTTCGGATGGGGCCTTGGCGAAATTGACCTTCACAGCACGCTGCTCTATGTCTGTGACTGGAGGTCCTAGCTCCCGTGTTGGCCACATGTCCTTCGGCTGTTGCAACCAGTCCGGTCCTTCCCACCAGAGTTGGCTATGAACCAGCTCCCGCAGCGAAACGCCTCGACTGGCCAGGTCCGCGGAATTGTGCTCAGATCGCACATGCGCCCAATGCTCAGCGCTCGTTACCTGAGTAATTTTTGTCACCCGGTTGGCGACAAACGTGGTCCAGTGGCATGCCGGCTTGCTCAACCATGCGAGGACGATGGTGGAATCGGTCCGGCAGAAAATGTCGGAATTGGAAATTGGCATATTCGGAAGGACAGCTGCAATCATCTCTGACAACAGCAATGCCCCACACAGCTCGAGCCGTGGAAGGGACACCGTTTTAACAGGGGCGCCTCGGGTTTTGGCGGTAAGCAGACGTGTCATAATGTTGTGGCCTACTTCCACCCGCAAGTATATAGCGGCCCCATAGGCCTTCTGAGACGCATCACAAAACCCGTGATGCTCTACCTTCACTCCTGGCTGGAAACCAACCCACCTTGGAATGCGGATCTGCTCAAGCTCGGAATAGCTGCGCAAAAAATCTTGCCATCTTTGATCCATTTCTGTGGGGATGTTTTCATCCCAGCCCAACTCCTGCAACCAAATTTCTTGCATAAAGATTTTTGAGCGGACAATAAACGGAGACAGCCATCCGGCTGGGTCAAAAGCTTCGCAATTTGGGAAAGAACCTCTCTCTTCGTATGAGTGGATTTAATCGACACTGGCGGTGAAACAAAACAGAACTCGTCCGAGGTCGCATTCCACCGAACGCCCAGTGTTTTGGCAAAGCTTTCGGAATGAAGATCGCGAAAGTCCTCGTGGAGTAGATGCTCGTTTGGGATGTCTTCGAGTATGCTCTTCTGGTTGGCCGTCCACTTTCTCAATGGGAACCTGGCGCTGCTGAAAGCGTGGCGAAGTTCGCTGATTGCCAGTCGAGCCTCTTGTATGGAAGTGGTCCCTGCCAGAACGTCGTCTACGTACATAAAGTGACGAATAATGTTGCTTGCTGTAGGGAAGTCCTTTTCTACGTCGTCTGCCAATTGTTGGAGTACGCGGAGTGCCAGAAATGGTGCACAGTTCACACCAAAGGTGACTGCTTTTAACTCGAAATCGTTTACTTCTCCATCTTTATTCCGGAATAAGATTCTTTGGAACGGCGTATGTTTGGGGTCGACCCAGATTTGACGGTACATCTTGGTGATATCTGCGCTGAACACGTACTGGAAATAACGCCACTTCAATATCTGAATGGTTAAATCAGATTGTAGGACTGGACCAGCATGAAGAATGTCGTTCAAGCTTGTCCCATTGGATGAAGGGCTAGAAGCATTGAATACCACGCGAAGTTTGGCGGTAGTGCTCTCGGGTTTGATCACCGCGTGGTGTGGCAGGTAATAGTTTGGAGAATCGTACGACGGGGGAATTTCTCTCATATGACCCAGATCCAAATACTCTTGAATGATTGAGTCATACTGCTCTTTTAATGGAAAGTCTCTCTTCAAACGGTTTTCGTTTCTAAGAAACTGAGCTAGGGCACTGGATCGCGAGTGCCCCAATTGGGACCCGAGATTTTCAGGCTCGCGAAATGGTAAAGATACTACGTATCTCCCGCTTGCGTCTCTAGTGGTCGTTTGGAGAAAATTGTTTTCGCAATAGGAATCGGAGTCCTTTACCCTTTTAGTGGGTATATTCTCCACCTCCCAAAACTTAGTGAGAAGTTTTTCTAAGACTCTGTCACCCGTTTCGGTTATCTGGGTCGTGAAAGCGGATACTCGATTCTGACTAGATGTACTTGAAACTGGGCCGGTAAGCACCCAGCCAAAAATAGTTTCTTGACCTAGAAGAGAGCCACAAATGTTTGTGCGCATGCCGCTCAGCAGAACGGATGGTAACATGTCGGCTCCGATCAGAACATCTATCTGGGAGCTCTCAAGAAATGTAGGATCTGCCAGGGGGATAGCAGGTAAATCACTCAGCGCATCTCGTGGGATTGGATAGGACGGTAGCGTTCCGGCCAATTCAGGCAGAACGTAAGCTGCGGTTTCTAGCTGAAGGCCTGGTTTATTAGGAGCTCGAATCGAAAAATGGCAGAGCCTGGTCGCCTGAGCGGAAATGGTCTTATTTAAGCCCGAAACTTGGGCTTGGATGAGGCGGAATGGCAGCTTAATTAAATTGAACAGGCGTTCCGTAATAAACGTAGCCTCAGAACCCGAGTCTATTAGAGCGCGAGCCCTGTAGTTCGTACCCAAGTGGCAAATGTCAATGATGGCTGTACCTAGTAAAACCGCTCTGGCACCGGTTGCGAAATAATTCTGCACACCGGGCAGATTTTCTGAAGCGTTGGCGGCCCTCTGTACAGTTGGATTTTGTGGGCTTGCAGAAGAAATATTTCCCGTAGTTGACCCACTGGAATTGGGGTTGCCTTTATGGAGCAACGTATGATGCCGAGCTCGACATGTGAAACAGCTGTGAGTGCTCGTACATTCACGTAGCTGATGGCCTCTCGCGAAACAATTTAGGCACAGCTGTTTCTTCTTGATGTAGTTGGTCCGCGCATCGACAGACATCTGGAGAAAACGCTGGCATAAGCGGACTGGATGATTCTCCTTTGAGCACAGATCGCAATTCTTCGGTTTGGAAACCACTTTAGCTTCGAAGGAGTTGAGCCTCCTGGAGACGGGTTGACTCTTAGTGGTAGAGTGATTGCTGTAGCTTGGTTTCATGTCCTCAATCGCCTCTAGCGTTCGGTATCGGTCACCAAGAAACGTGTTCATCTCATCCCAAGTCGGAATGTCGGACTTCGATGAAAGGGACTGCTCCCATAAGGAGAGGGTCAGTTTCGGTAATCTACTGGCGCACAGGAATACCAGGAGACAGTCCCAATTCTCTGTGGAAATTTTGGAATGAGCCAGAGCGACCAAACACCCTTGGATTGTGCTCTGAAGATCTTTCAGAGCCTGGCCTGATTCGGAACTGACGGACGCCAAGTTAAAAAGGAGTTTGAGTTGGCTGTTTACTAGCAGTCTTTTATTTTCGAAACGGTCTCGAAGCGCTGCCCATGCTGAGTCGAAACCCTCATTTGTGAGAGGGGACTTGGCTACGATTGCCTTAGCCTCGCCGCTAGTTTTAGCATTGAGATGGAAAAGCTTTTCGACCGGTGTCAACCTAGGATTGTTGACATAGACTGCTGTAAAAAAGGTCCCTAAATGTTGGCCATTTTAGGTAATCTCCTTCGAATACTTCTGTATCGCATGGTGGTAACCGGCACCCAGACGAAATGTAAGCGGACTGATTAGTGGTGCTCGCTGTCGACTGCTGCGGAGTGGCTTGGTCCATCAGCTCGCTGAGATGAACTGATAGCTCCTCGTACACCGAATAGCAATATTCATACTTTCGATGCAGAGTCGCCAGAATCTCCTCCGCTCCTTCAGTCGTAATGCTGGAAATCGTGTCTAAACACGCTTCGAATTCTTTTTCGGCCTTTTCCCAGAGTGAGCGGACTTGTTCCTTACGGACTTTGCAGGTGTGGACGGACGGAGCTGACGGCCCTGGAGTTTCTATGGTCGCTCTGAAATTGCTCATGCGGTCGGACACCGTTATGAACCGCGCGAGGGCTGCAATTGCAATGTCGTTGCTCATTTTTGCCTGAGAACGAGTTGCCAGCGACTTTACGGACTTGGTCTGGATCTGTGACCTAACCTTAGGCGTGAGCGACAATCGTTTCGGATTGCTCGTAGGAACAGACAACTTCTTTTCGCCCTCTTGGGTGTCTAATGAAGTTTCGCTCTTTGCCTTGGTTATTGATGTCGGAACTACTGCGCTTGAGGTGCGCGCGCGAGGAGAAGCGGATAGCGATCGCGTTTTATTTGCAGACGGAACCGATAACTTTGTTTTGTCTTCTGGCATTCCCGAAATCAGACTAGGCAACCCTGGCTGGCTTTGTGGTAATTTGACACTCCGGAAAAGTCTGTACTGGAATGTGGTTCCGCTGTTGCGGATCACCGGGGTGTATTTGAAAGGAAACGGAAGGATGGAATCGATAACTTCCGATCAATACAGGTGCGGCTCCAAATATCGAAAATTCTAATAGCGGAATGTCAACAATGTCAATGTATGCGACGCGACAAAAAACGTATGGAATTAATTTGATTTTGATTCAAGAAAACAAACAAAAAAAATTAATAAAGCGCAGTGGCTGCTTCGATTCCTCGGGATAGACAATTGCAAGCGGTCCGCTTGTGTTCGTTCTTAGCGTTGCAGCTCCGGTCTATTTTTGGAATATGTGGAAACGGAACAGTTGTACCAATTAAAAGTTTTTTTTTTTTTTTTGGAACCACTGCTTTGATGTGCGAGCAAAATATCAAAAAAATTCGACAAAAAATGTTTTGCAAAATATTTGCAGTTGGTTGCTGAGCTGCGGAAATGATCGCAAGGAATATGGAAATAAATACGATTCGCACCGCCACGGCTTACACAAAAAGGATTTATTTATTCATTATTTATTTAATGGATGTGTGCCGACGGCGTGTGCGAAATAGCGCTGCTGAAATAAATATCATGCAAAAGTTGGAACGGCTTATAGTGTTGATGTGGAATCAGGAAATTTTTCCCATATGTATAATATAATAAATTGTGTTCGATGGACTCAGGATATTTTTCCAATATGTATAATATAATAAATTGTGTTCGGTGGAATCGGGTTATTTTGCAATATATATAATATATAATAAATTGTTTTTTATTATATTTTATATTTTATTTATAAATTATAAATGATATTGGCTATGTTGTAAATGTCGCTTTTGAAATCTTTGTTGGGTGTACCGCCTTACGTTACGGGCATATGTGTAAATGTTGCGTTCCAAATGGGTATACCGCCTTACGTTACGGGCATACATATGTACGTACGTACATTAATAAGCATGCATTTGGGTTATATGATTGTATGTCTGGATATGTGTGTATGTATGGATATGTGTGTTTGGATTGATATGTGTGTCACTATAATTATTTGGGCTTTGACCATGGTACAATTATACAAGGTAGTCTCGTCGGCTGCCTAATCGTTCGGCTTTTTAGTCAGTGCGTTCGTGCTTGTTGAAGGATGAGCACGCGTGCGGACGAATTTTTCAGAGTATTAACCCTTGTGCAAAGATGTCGTTCTGCCCTTGGCTGCAAACTTTTTTTTGTTTTTTAACATGTCGTTTCAGATAATTTTAGTATAACAAAAAATGTAAAGGAGAAACTATTAATAGCTTCTAAGAAACATTAATTTAGATATTAAAAAAACTTACTTTAATATTGACATTTTAAAATTAAGAACCTAAACAAAGAAATAACTATCCAAAAATAAAAACAACGTTTAATTTTAAATTCAAAACTATTAAAAATTAATTTATAAAAAACTTCAACTCCTATTCCTAGAAATGAGCAATTTAAGACCTATGCACCATCTAAGGGCTAAGCAAAAAGCTCTTTTGTCGTTTCACTCGCACTTACTACGCAGACTCCTCTCACTCGCACTTGTGGTGAGTAATGAATAAGGGAGTGCTTTTTTCCGACGAGACTACCTTGTATAATTGTACCCATGGTACAATTATACAAGGTAGTCTCGTCGGCTGCCTAATCGTTCGGCTTTTTAGTCAGTGCGTTCGTGCTTGTTGAAGGATGAGCACGCGTGCGGACGAATTTTTTCAGAGTATTAACCCTTGTGCAAAGATGTCGTTCTGCCCTTGGCTGCAAACTTTTTTTTGTTTTTTAACATGTCGTTTCAGATAATTTTAGTATAACAAAAAATGTAAAGGAGAAACTATTAATAGCTTCTAAGAAACATTAATTTAGATATTAAAAAAACTTACTTTAATATTGACATTTTAAAATTAAGAACCTAAACAAAGAAATAACTATCCAAAAATAAAAACAACGTTTAATTTTAAATTCAAAACTATTAAAAATTAATTTATAAAAAACTTCAACTCCTATTCCTAGAAATGAGCAATTTAAGACCTATGCACCATCTAAGGGCTAAGCAAAAAGCTCTTTTGTCGTTTCACTCGCACTTACTACGCAGACTCCTCTCACTCGCACTTGTGGTGAGTAATGAATAAGGGAGTGCTTTTTTCCGACGAGACTACCTTGTATAATTGTACCATGGGTACAATTTAAGACCTATTGTACCATGGGTACAATTATACAAGGTAGTCTCGTCGGAAAAAGCACTCCCTTATTCATTACTCACCACAAGTGCGAGTGAGAGGAGTCTGCGTAGTAAGTGCGAGTGAAACGACAAAAGAGCTTTTTGCTTAGCCCTTAGATGGTGCATAGGTCTTAAATTGCTCATTTCTAGGAATAGGAGTTGAAGTTTTTTATAAATTAATTTTTAATAGTTTTGAATTTAAAATTAAACGTTGTTATTTCTTTGTTTAGGTTCTTAATTTTAAAATGTCAATATTAAAGTAAGTTTTTTTAATATCTAAATTAATGTTTCTTAGAAGCTATTAATAGTTTCTCCTTTACATTTTTTGTTATACTAAAATTATCTGAAACGACATGTTAAAAACAAAAAAAGTTTGCAGCCAAGGGCAGAACGACATCTTTGCACAAGGGTTAATACTCTGAAAAATTCGTCCGCACGCGTGCTCATCCTTCAACAAGCACGAACGCACTGACTAAAAAAGCCGAACGATTAGGCAGCCGACGAGACTACCTTGTATAATTGTACCATGGTCAAAGCCCAAATAATTATAGTGACACACATATCAATCCAAACACACATATCCATACATACACACATATCCAGACATACAATCATATAACCCAAATGCATGCTTATTAATGTACGTACGTACATATGTATGCCCGTAACGTAAGGCGGTATACCCATTTGGAACGCAACATTTACACATATGCCCGTAACGTAAGGCGGTACACCCAACAAAGATTTCAAAAGCGACATTTACAACATAGCCAATATCATTTATAATTTATAAATAAAATATAAAATATAATAAAAAACAATTTATTATATATTATATATATTGCAAAATAACCCGATTCCACCGAACACAATTTATTATATTATACATATTGGAAAAATATCCTGAGTCCATCGAACACAATTTATTATATTATACATATGGGAAAAATTTCCTGATTCCACATCAACACTATAAGCCGTTCCAACTTTTGCATGATATTTATTTCAGCAGCGCTATTTCGCACACGCCGTCGGCACACATCCATTAAATAAATAATGAATAAATAAATCCTTTTTGTGTAAGCCGTGGCGGTGCGAATCGTATTTATTTCCATATTCCTTGCGATCATTTCCGCAGCTCAGCAACCAACTGCAAATATTTTGCAAAACATTTTTTGTCGAATTTTTTGATATTTTGCTCGCACATCAAAGCAGTGGTTCCAAAAAAAAAAAAAACTTTTAATTGGTACAACTGTTCCGTTTCCACATATTCCAAAAATAGACCGGAGCTGCAACGCTAAGAACGAACACAAGCGGACCGCTTGCAATTGTCTATCCCGAGGAATCGAAGCAGCCACTGCGCTTTATTAATTTTTTTGTTTGTTTTCTTGAATCAAAATCAAATTAATTCCATACGTTTTTTGTCGCGTCGCATACATTGACATTGTTGACATTCCGCTATTAGAATTTTCGATATTTGGAGCCGCACCTGTATTGATCGGAAGTTATCGATTCCATCCTTCCGTTTCCTTTCAAATACACCCCGGTGATCCGCAACAGCGGAACCACATTCCAGTACAGACTTTTCCGGAGTGTCAAATTACCACAAAGCCAGCCAGGGTTGCCTAGTCTGATTTCGGGAATGCCAGAAGACAAAACAAAGTTATCGGTTCCGTCTGCAAATAAAACGCGATCGCTATCCGCTTCTCCTCGCGCGCGCACCTCAAGCGCAGTAGTTCCGACATCAATAACCAAGGCAAAGAGCGAAACTTCATTAGACACCCAAGAGGGCGAAAAGAAGTTGTCTGTTCCTACGAGCAATCCGAAACGATTGTCGCTCACGCCTAAGGTTAGGTCACAGATCCAGACCAAGTCCGTAAAGTCGCTGGCAACTCGTTCTCAGGCAAAAATGAGCAACGACATTGCAATTGCAGCCCTCGCGCGGTTCATAACGGTGTCCGACCGCATGAGCAATTTCAGAGCGACCATAGAAACTCCAGGGCCGTCAGCTCCGTCCGTCCACACCTGCAAAGTCCGTAAGGAACAAGTCCGCTCACTCTGGGAAAAGGCCGAAAAAGAATTCGAAGCGTGTTTAGACACGATTTCCAGCATTACGACTGAAGGAGCGGAGGAGATTCTGGCGACTCTGCATCGAAAGTATGAATATTGCTATTCGGTGTACGAGGAGCTATCAGTTCATCTCAGCGAGCTGATGGACCAAGCCACTCCGCAGCAGTCGACAGCGAGCACCACTAATCAGTCCGCTTACATTTCGTCTGGGTGCCGGTTACCACCATGCGATACAGAAGTATTCGAAGGAGATTACCTAAAATGGCCAACATTTAGGGACCTTTTTACAGCAGTCTATGTCAACAATCCTAGGTTGACACCGGTCGAAAAGCTTTTCCATCTCAATGCTAAAACTAGCGGCGAGGCTAAGGCA